ATAGCTCGAGATTGATCCTTAGAATCAACCAGTGCAAATTACAAGCAGCGAGGAAACAGCGATACAACGAAAGTCCCGTTACATGAGTGAGTTAAGCAGTTCCCTGGTGAGAATTTGATTGTCAGTTATTTAGCAGTGGATGTAGAGAAATTATTTCCTCCAAGAAAAGTGTTCTGAAAATCCATATTTCATCAAAGAAGCATCAAAACAGAAAGAAAAGTTGAAAAGTCGAAATTGAAAGACCAGACCATAATCGACGCATTCAGAAGAGAAGGAAGTTCAAAAGCTAGCACTTTGCCCATGGAAATAATAAAATAAAACAAAGCATTTTCTGGAACCAAAGTAGCATTATTTTGAGAATTGAGCATAATTTGAGCATTTTTTTTGGCCCAAAACGGAATTTCTAGGAGCATAAAATGCCAGTTTTACTAGCATAATCGGGAAAAGCCTGTTGTTGGCTCACCAAGGATGGCTTTACCTAACAAAGTTTGATCATGCTGCTAATCTTTGGACTGGTGTACACGAGTAGAATGCTGATCCTGATTTAAATTTGACTTTTGAGTGGGGTGTGAGTGATTTCAAAAAAAAAAACATATTCTTGCAAGCATACTTGTACCAAAAAAGTATTCCTATGCAAATGATCATTGCTGAAATAACAAAAAAAAATGCATGTTCAGAGAGCCAAAAAAGCAAGATACACAGAGGAAAAAATATCATGCATATGTGTACACATCCTGAGGGAAAAAACGAAACATTCCTAGTGTATGAAAGGGTTAAGAAAAAAAATCTTGCCTGTACTAAATACATCTTCCCCCCCTTCAGAAGTCAAATGGTCCACCACTAAGACACTCTGATTTCTCTTGGTTTTCACCTGACAAATCATGTGACTTTTCTTGCACTGCTGCAAATTTTGTGCAAGGATTCACTTTCAAAAGACCTTTCGCAGTCTACTGAATCAATTTTTGTGGGTACATTTTATCCGACTAGTTTGGCACATGCTAAAAAAATTATATTCCTCTCAGCATCGTTGAGGGGACATGGGTGCTCGTCATACCTTTTAGGGGTTAAAAAGTGATTTTGGTACATCTTAGGGTGTTTAGCCTAAAAAGGCCCACAGTGGGAGCTTCTGTGGCACCTTTTAGGGTATTGCGGCTGAAAAAAACAAAAAACAGCGGTTCTGAACGGAAATTGTGAAGTAAGCAAACTTCACGTAATGGAAACAATAAGGCTAATATCTATAATGCTGCATACTAATAAATAGGTGAATGACATAAAGATCATGTTCATGAAAAATAGTGACTTGGATATAAGCCTTCTCCAAAAGTATATTTGTGCTATCCAAATAATTTATTGTTGTTGTTGTTGATCTATCGAGAATGCAAAAGTCAGCTAAAATGTTTATATTGCTTATTCCTTATCATTTTAATCTCTTTAAAGGTGAGTTTTGGTTCAAAGTACAGAATTTTGTGGTCTAGAAGAAAACCACGACACATGAGGCCATCTTTGTTTTTGATGTTGCGATCAAAAAGCAAAACTTTTCCATACCCCCTCGAATATGCAAAGGACCAAAACATAATAGGCACCAAAGAAATATCTGGGGAGTAGGCAAAAGGTAATTTCTTAGTATTTTCAAAGGGCCATTTGCCTCGTCTACCCTGCAAAGGAGTTCAAATATGCCCTCCCACTACCCCTACATGACGTTAACCGAATTAACAATGAAAAGTTTAACAGACTATATATAGTACTTGAATCACACTAATGACAGGAGAAATGTGTTGTTTTAGAGTTGGTACCTCTTAGGGGTGTAAACAATTTCAAGCCACGCCAGCAAAAGAGGATCTTGGTACCTCTTAGGGGTTCTTTTCAAAATTTCTGATGAGCAGCCCAGTCCTTTGTAAGGGAGTCCTCCAAGGCAAGTAGTAGCTATTTACTTCAAAGCGGTGGTTCAGGAATTAGGGAGCTTAAGCAAACCATGACGACAACGGCAACGAGAACATCACCAAACAAAAGGTTTAATGAGTAGAACAATAGCTGTATGTGCGCATTATAAATCTTTGCACATTTCTTTGCCGTCCTTTGCAAAACAAGTATGTGAAATAACTAGGTTCTGCGTAGTCTGAGGAATGCGAATGACAATGGCAAACTTTTCACATTTCTATTTGGAATTGAACACCATCATCACATCTTTAACCTGAGCATGTTTTTAGAGCCACTGGAATATTGAACAGATCTAGATGGTTGCAAATTTCGCTGGTAAAATATAGATTCATTTTTTACTAGGTGTTGTCCTCAGTGTCGCCATCGTCGTTGCTTAAGCTTTCTAATATCTACCACTAGCCACCTCCACTTCAGGGAATAAATTGCCAATTAAGCCCCAGAGAAAAACCTTATTTTTCTAAAATGATAACAGTAGATCGAAAGACCACAAGTAATATACCAGTTGAAAGGTTTTGTTTGGGATATGTCCTAAATCACCACAACAGACATACAAGAATTCACAAATTGAATTGAGGAGTCTGCAAAGGAAAAAAAATGAAAACGTTCAAAAATACCTTATGACTTGCATATATTGGGTATACCCCAAAACAGTAGCTTAATTTGCAGCTCTGGGTGTGCAGATTTTTGTCATATAAATATTCACTTCACTGTAAAATTGTAAAGTGCAAAAGTTTAAAAAACTTTAGGGGTGGTTAATCAAGTCTGATTCAGGAGGGGGTATGATTTTATGCTTCTAATGCGAAGATCTCTCAAAGATCCTTTTAGAGTCCAAATTTGAAATGAACTGGCCAAATAGTAAGCTTATTATAACATTTTGTGCCATATCGCACTATAGGGGCGCAAAGGATTAAGGTGACTCCTCAGTATTGCATTGCGCATCCCTATTATGCACAATTTTTGCGTAATTAGCACGCGCATATGAGCGTGTGCACATACAAAACATAAGAGATTTCCCTCAAACTAAGCTTGATAGCGAAATAAATACTTCTTTTCTCTTAAACAAACAAGGTGACCCCCACTTTTTATTTCATAATTTCAATAAGAACAATATCCTCAATAACTGAGAAAAAAATTAGCAGAAATTTGTGGCTACTTTTTTGGAAAATGAAATAAATACTACAGAGGGAGACATAACGAGGCCAACAGCGCATGTCCAAATTATGTCTTCTTTAAGTAATGGTAATAGGACTGAGTGGAGTCCAATTCGGTCTGTTATCATAAGAGTGATAACAAAATCGGACAATCGTGCAGCGGGAGTCCGATTTGTTTATCACGAGTATGATTACAGACCGAATTTGACAACACGAAGTCTTACTTCCAATTAATCATAAAAATTACAATTTCCGAGAAAAGAATAATAGCCCAGTTATGAAAGAAAGGGGAAATTTGCATTAAAATACCTACAAAGGAGATGTGAACATTCTAAGGCCACCGCGCCTCCTACTGACAATTAGGTGCCAAAAACACAAAAGCAAGCGTGCGCACGCATGCACACATGTAACTAGCCTGCGTAGCAGTCTTTTTCGTTTCCTCTAAGCGGGAGAAACTGAGAGCCAGGGGGAAGTTGCGTGAACGCATGGGGTGGGAGCAAAAAGTTAGGAACAGAGGGGAGGGGGTGAGGAGGAAAGGAAAAGCCTGCTGCTGAGCCCATACATTTTACTGAACACCGTTCGTCCACGAACGGGAGGCAATTAGGCATAACAATTGGTCAATCAAGCGTCAATCAAAANGCTCCCATTCAACAGAAAAATAGCTGTGAACTCAAGGTTCCTGTTAAAACTGATCCTTGGAGAGGACAAAGCCCCAAGCCAACTCCAACAGTCCTTAAAACTGACAAACAACAATCTAAAATTACTTTAACATAATTCAGTGGCAAATCTGTAAGGAATATATGGTGGGTTCTTTTACCAAGGAATCACGTTAAGTCAATTAAACACTTTAAAAGCTTACCCATGCAATATCTCGGTTTAAAGCCACCTCAATACGCTGGTTTGGAAGGTAGCACGAAATCATCAGCCTGACCTTCTTCCGTCACTTTTTCCTCTGCACGACGCTTTGGTAATCGACGATAGAGGAAGACATAATATAGACCTTCACAAAAGAACAAAACTGTAGATATGAAACCACAGATCCCAGAAGCTTCTAACTTTTTGACGTTGTAATCTTTCCCGTGGTCAAAGACTATAGCAGAACCGATGAGCAGGGCCAGGGCGGCCAGAAAACACCCAACAATACCAATTATTGGATGCCTGAGAACTGCTGGAAGCTTCTCGAACAGGTGAACCATGCGGAGAATAATGTGTAAGACCACAAAGATGAACGCTGCAGTGGCCACGAAGATCAAGAACTCGTATTCCGGTTTGAAGCTGCCAGGAAAACTCGACAAAATAACGAAGGTAAGGAAGGTCATGATTGCCTCAACAAGCTTAAGCCATCCCTCTTTTGTAGTCACGATCCACAGAACATCACAGCAACTGCAACTGCACTTGCGCTGCGACTCTGCTGATATTGTCGTGGTCGCTTCTCCGTCAGCCATGTTTGCCAAGGCACTTGCGAGAATGGGCGGGGCCTTGAAAGTGAATTCCCTATTTACTTCCGGTGCAGGCCAACTTCAACATTTGTCGAAGTGATGCAGAGTCTAGTCTACAGAAAAGCTGAAATGCTTGAGATAAAGAATAAAGTAGTAATCAGCCTTCCATTATTATTGTTCTATTTCTAAGAATTGTTGGCTGGTCAGATCTTTTCACAGATCTAGCAGCATTTTCGTTTGCATGCCCTTGCCACATTTTAAAATATTTAGTTTTGCTTAGGCCGTAGATCATCTTAGATCCGATGTGCTGTTCATTAAACCAGAGATTGCGCAAGCAATCTAAGGGTTTACCTTGTTTTTTTTTTT